CTACTTCTAATACTTCTTCTTCTCCCCTCTCCTTCATATGTATTCAACGTAGTGACGAAATGCGCTCTGTAGAGTAGTTTGTCCTTTTGGGCTACTATAGAAACATGGCGGCACCATTTGGCGACTTCCATGTAAGGGGACCCGCAGTGTATGTAGATAGAAATGGGTCATTCTAAGGTCCGCCTAAATATTGCACACTGAACCTTTAACTTACACCAGGTAAGTAACACAGTTATTTTAACCCAAACCATGATCTTTTCCTAAACCTAACCAAGTGGTTTTGTAGCCTAAACCTAACCAAATTGCGACGTTTCACAATATTAACCACTAGTTTTATTTTGAAAGTCCAACAGGATATTGCATGTGTATTATTACTAACTTGACCGGATGTTGCATATTTAGTCTTGCTAACTTGACAGCAGAGCCCTACGCCCGCATAAACAACATTTAAGAGGTACCCAGGTATGTTAAAAAGTGACGGTCCATATGTGACGAGTTGGGAATGAGAAAGGTTTGAAATACCAGCACTTTTATGACCAGTATATTTTAGGGATTTGCGATAAAACAGACTTCATTCATTTTTGACAAGTCGTTTTATTTGTCAGCATTAAATAAATAAAGTTCTGGTAGTGCGGCGGACAGGGAATGAAGCCAGTCATGTTGAAGCTCAATAGTTTAGCAATTCAAATTCAAATCCCAGTTTATGTACTGTTTTTTCAAATTTTTCCACGGGGGCAGCTTCCCTCGCCTTCTCACATTTATCATCCACTGTGTCTTCATTACATGTGTTTGATTGGTAGGTGCATGAGTGTTTGCGCGCATACACATTTACACGTGTCAGTGTGTGTCTGTGTTAGCTGTTCTCTGTTTGTGCAATTGTTTGCTTATGCGTGTGCACCCCGAGAGCCTATGTGTGTTTCTGACTGCGGGTGCATTTTATGATGTGTACTTTTTTTCTCTTCCTAGTCCAGGAGTCCCCGTCAGGACCCCTAGGCGTCCCTGTGCCTGCCTGCCAAAAACGTCTGCATCTCCTGGACCCCCTCGAGGCAGGGGACAGCCAAATGTCACTTGGACCCTCTACAGAGTGGTGAGAGGAGGACAGGAAGAGGCGAATGGGAGAGCGGGGGAGGAGGAAGGAGGAGACAGGGAATTGAAGGAGAGGGAGACAGAGGTTTAACAGGAGATATGAGGACGTGTAGCGTGGCAAAAGAGTTTGAGATGACAGGTAAATTGACGGAGTGAGAAACTGAATCACTTTATATCAAAATAAAATTTTCACAGTCCCATAGCACAGTCATCATGAAGAATAATAGTGACTTAACAATTGCTACATATGTCTATGAAGATTCTCAGTCATCCAGGTCATAGTTATCCAACGAAAGTTAAAATCAAGGGCAACTGGACTTGGTTGAAGATACTGGAAGACGTTTCGTCCCTCATCCAAAGGACTTCTTCAGTTCTGACTGACTGGCAGGGAAACTCAGCTCAGTCCAGTTGCCCTTGATTTTAACCTTCGTTGGATAATTGCTACATATATACCTTTCAAGAATTCTTGGAACAAACTTTTATTTTATCATTTTTCATATTATGTCATCCTCAACAAACCTGTTGGATCTTTGCAGTATATTTACTCATGCTAAACAAAAAAGCGTCACCACGTTTATCACCGATACTGACAGACAAAAGTAGTTCTTAAAAAGACTTCTTTTGGTGCATGTTATAGTCTACTAAATACAAAGGCATATCTTTTATGTTGCTGCTGACCAGTTTCCATACATTGTTAGATTGATTTCCCACATACTGTACCAACACAACATTTAATGCCTTTGTGTAACTGTCACAGAAAAGGAAAGGTGACTAAATGGGATGTATAACATGTCTCAGGAAAGTTTAAAATCTCTGGAATGATGGCACTTTTCCACTGTTTTCTGGTAACTACAAGAGGATGTTTTTCCTCGTTTGTTCTGCTTTGTTTGGTGTGTTTTTTTAAATGCAGTGTAAAGGTACATGCAGAGAAACACTTCACATCACCACATGTAAAATCACACATCTAAATGACTATCAGTATTTCCAGTATATCCAGTGTTTCTATGAACGTCAGGCAGGCATACAAAACCAAATAAATCCCTGTTTGTTTTTTTAACAATTACTTTCATTTCTCTTGCCTACCTCCCCCATTCACCTCTGCCAGTCCGTTATGTCCCTCACTCCTTGCACGGGGAGGACAAGTGGAAGACAAGGACAAGATGTCTGGCTTCCTCACACATAAAACATTTATTCATACAGTAGTCTGGGAAAGATATAAATCTACTGTGGTCAATTGTAATAGGAAACACTCACTTCAAGTGTGCCTGTGTGGACATTTGTATTTGTGTGTGTGGAGCATGGGGGGGGGGCGTATGAAGGAATATGAAGGGATAAAAACATTATTCTGGGTAACAGCTGCTGAGATGAAAACACACACACACTTGTAACCTTCTGCTTAGCCCTAATTCCCAATAGAGCTGCACACACATCCAGTGTCTACTATAGTCCCCTGAGTGTCCTGTGACACAGTATTGAACAGGGATTTACATGGAGCACACACATGAATGGAAACAAAAGAGCGGCCTTCATGCCTCTATTCTCCGATTGCAACAACATGAACATTTCTGCGCTGACTGTGGGTCAAGTCCACAGAGCGAAAAACTTAGAAATGACAAATGTATTTAATTTCTCTGTGAAAGAATAATATTATTTATTACACACAAAAACAGCAGCTTTTATTTTTCTTAATAAATTTGTATGGGTAGCTTTCTTATCTCAATAATCTTAACTGCTATGTATTCTTATGCTTTTTGTTCACTTTCGCTCCCAGCTTACAGTGTCTTTAGTGGCCAAAGTGAGTCTGTTAAAATGCTGAAATAATGCTGCATTAGAAAGGCAGGTAACTTAGAATTAGCAGTAAGACGGAGTGTGTAATTAAACCAGTTGTCATTCATTTACAATCCGATGCATAATTCAGGCAGCCGTGCACATGACAAAAAGAACTGGCTGTAACTAGTAGCTAGCTCTCCAAACAAGCACCTACACAGCAATTACAGATGAGAGATAGGCGTGTGTGTGTGTGTTCCTCTGTGTGTGTATGTGTGTGTGTGTGTGTGTGTACATCCACTAAGTTAATGGCTGTGTGGAAGCGACAGTCCAAATGTGTTCATCTGTAACATTTTATCCTGGTTCACCTCACTCAGCCGCCGTCACGCAGCAAACACACACATGAGCTCATAAAGCAGGAAAGGGCAGGATGGAGAGAGGAGGAAAAGACAACGTGGAGAGAAGTGAGAGAGAAATGATTTGCCAGCATGAGTCCATTTTCCACAGCAGGTAATTTTCCCCCAAACTCTGGAACTTTTTCAAGAATTCAGATTGTTCATTGGTCAAGGTACTATCCTAAAAAAAAAACTAATGGCCAACAAATATTTCAGCTTCCCATTGGTCATTTGTTAAGTATTGGCAACCAACTGACTGGACCAAGCGGTGGCAAAGTTTCAGATGAGATTGAGAGTTTAAAACCGATTTAAAACAGTGATCTAGAATGCAAGTCCTTTAATAAACTTCTCAATTAGGCTGTGCCAGGCACAAGTAAGTCATGCAATTGATATACAAATATAAAAATACCTCAATGATGATTAATTCAAAAACAATAATGTTGCTTACATTTCATTCAAGGGACTCTGGGACTGTCTTGTCTTCTCTGCTTGTTAGTTTGCAGCAGCAACTGTAGCAGTTTGCCAGCCTATAACTTAGCTAACGTTTGTTACTTTACTTGCTGTGTCTTGATTTGCTCTATATCACATTACTGGATTTTTCCACCTAAAAGATCCTATTTCTTTCATTCTGTTAGTGGAAAATGGTCCAAATAAGAATTATCTTTCAGTTGGACATCCAATTGCCTACTTAGCCGTGACTAGACTAGACTAAATCCTTTCCAAGAATGCATTGTGGAGAAATGCAGAAACTAACAAGTTTATCTGACCGGCACCCATGTCCATCTCAGTATAAGGCATTGATCCAATGAACTGAGCCACCAGAGCCTGATAGTTAAGTGATATAAATGGAAATCCTACTACAGTTTAAATTGTAACTTAACTGTTAATGAGACACATGAATTTATGAAGTCAAGAACCATGTTGAGGATATCACTATGCATTTGTCAATATGACAAGATCACTGGGTATGTTGGCCAGTGACGAGGACTGCACATAAGAAACATGACTAAGTATATATAATAATGTGATATTTTAAATATCCTCATTGGGGAACTCTTTTCTCTTGACCTCTCAACAGGATGTCAGAGTTTTTAGCTGCAAACCGTAAATCATTTTCTATTTCCCTCCAGAGTGACTTATAAAGGCCATCTTGCAAATACCAACAAGGGACAGCAATGCCACTGCAAAAGCAGAACATGAGAGAAATGTTTCCCTTTTGTTAATAAAAGTGTATAAAATATTTGTGCTATTTGTGCAGCTATGCAAGACTCGACTGGAATAGCATCACCTGCAGAGTCCAAAACACTTAAATGCTTATTCTGTGCAAAATATTTGGTGTACACTAAGACTTGAATGGTGCCGTGGAATTCAATTAATCAGCATTTTGAATGTCATTTATGTTTATGAAAACATGCACAGTTAATTAAAGTATGTTTATCAGCTATTAATAATTAATTAAGAGAAGGGAGAGAGGGAGATCATTATTAGATGTTCGCGTATCTCCCCCTTGTGGTTTCACCCTGCAACTACATCTCAGTCACAGGTTCATTTTAAAGAGAAATATTTATAAATGTATGGCTTAAGGATTTTATAAAAGTCTCATTCATTCTTAACTGCTTAAATTTTGTGACTAACAAATTGTAGCAAAGTTGTATTGTTTGCAAGATATTCACCGTTTTTCTTGCATAAGAAGATTTACAAAAAAATTCACTACACTGAAAAGACAAGACTATAATGGAATACGACCGATTGGTTGTTCCAATTCGTAGTTAGGGACCTCTGAGCAGAGTAGGTGAGAAACTTTCATGAAGTTACGGTTGACTTTTATTAGAAAATAAGTATTCTTGTGCTATTCCAAATGATAGTGTAATTTTATCGCCGTGCGTAATGATACCGTTTTAGTCCTTAATAATATTAACTACCCAGAAATTTTGCCGTGAGTGGGTCCGTCGCGTCCGACCAAAACAGGAAGTGTCAGAGTTTACAGGCTAGCTAACTAGCCTGCGTGGTACATACGCATTTTTACATGTCAAATTTTAGAATAGTGTGGACTATCCGTCAGTGCCAACAACGACAAGCGGTTAGCTCAGCAGTAGTTTTGAGTAAATTTGTCCATCGGCTTTTGTTTGTGGTATTTAACTTAAATGGATACTCTGTCAGTCTGAGCAGAAGATTAGCCGACTAACGTTAGCTAGCTGAAACGCTATCACACTAATTTGTGTAAGGGTGTTTTTTCTGCGTGGTTGGCTACAGGGTTCGGCTTTAAGTTAACGTTACTATCTCCAGTGTCTGGTGTCCGCTGTCGTGGTTTACCCTCTATCTGTCTAACCGGACAGCACCGTAACATGAAGTTATGGAGGAGCGAAAACTAAAAAGAAAGAGTCCCAGGTCCTCCACCAACACGGCGGCTCCGACTGGTGGCTCTGGCCGGAAAACGAACGCTTCCTCCGGAGGACGACACATAGGCTACAGCCATAACATGGGGACTCACTCCAGCCAAAAGAGCAAGAGTAGGAGGTAGCAACCGTAGAACCACAATTGTTTTACCAATAACAGTCGTATATTATGTGTTTATCTTCCTCAGAAATAAAGTATTTGAAGTTGCTAGTCAGCTCTGAATCACTCTCTTCAGACTGTGCTGTGTTTTTGGTCTTTTTCCAGGGGAGTTAGAGATAAACCCAGGCATCATCCGGGCTTGGGTGGGAAAGCTAATCAGAGCCAGGGCCAGGCAGCACCTACCATCCAGCACTCCTTTCTTACTGATGTTTCAGATGTGCAGGAGATGGAAAACGGCCTGCTCAGTCTCCTCAACGACTTCCACTCAGGGAAACTACAAGCATTTGGTAATTTGGGCCTTAAAAGAACCTTTAACCAGAACACAATATTGTCCCACATGTGTCTTATGAAAGCAGCCCTGTGCAACTTTAGAGAGCCAGAGAGTGATGTCATAGATCCAGATGGCAGAATACACATAATGGTAACTGGACCTTTAACATCTAAATATGTAAATTCTAATTGTAAATACATAATCATTTCTGGTTCTTAAATTGAAAAAATATTGCATCGTGGGCAAAGATTACTGTATTTACAAGAAATAAATATAGCAGATGATTGCAAGACTGTAATGAAAATAGAGTTTTAAACAACATAATAGTAAACACAACAGCTGAAGACACCTGTACATGTCTTTGCTTTCTCCTCTGTTAGGGAATGAGTGCTCCATTGACCAGATGGAGCATGTGAGAGAGATGCAGGAGAAGCTGGCCCGTTTGCACTTTGACCTCTATGGCGAGGTGGATGAAATGCCTGAGGACCAGAGGAAAATAGCCTGTGACACCAACATGGACAAATTACTTCTTAATGTAAGACTGTAATAGCGTAATTTGTGAACTGTTCTAACTTCATCCCGATACAGCACGTTGAGCTCATTGTGCTGTCGCTTGTACATTATGTTGTACTAGATAAAGCTGTTCATTGATGTGGTGTTACTACTTAACAAGGCTTTAGCTGCTTACTCCCCCTCCCAGGTGTTAAACTCTTAGCTGCTTGTTGCACGTCAAACAGGATAAAGTCTAGAAGGTCCTTTTACAGTGAGGGAAAGATTGCCACACAAACTGCTGACATGCATAATAAGATCAAAATGTTTTTTTCTCCACAGCTTGAGGAGCTGAGTACTTCTATGTATCCTTTTGATATTAACATTCACCAGTCTCCAGGCATCAAATCCTTGATTGCTTTTTAAAGGCATTTAAAGTGAAAGTGAAAACGTTATTGCATACAGGTTTCCTGTCCGTCCAGCACTGATCTTGTTAATAACGTCAGACTTTGGCCTGTGTTATTGCTTGACTCTGCTTCTCCAGCCAGAAACTGAATCTAGCGGACTCCCAAGAGATCCCGAGGACTGCCAGCATCTGATTTTCTCTTCTACTCTCATCTCTTCTCAAGCCCCTCTGACCCGACTGTTTGTTTTGTGCCACCTTGAGGGGAAGCAACGGATAAGGAGGAGTAGAATCAAGCTTGAGGCACTATTTCTCTTAAGTATTATAGCCGAAATGACAACAAAACTATACGCCAGCGTTCCCTGTCTGTACAGGGTGGATGGATGTGTCGTAAGATGCCCCCACAGGGATGCACTGACTTATTTTTCACTAATATGAATTCCAAAATAGTTCTAATCCTATCATACTAAACAACAAGAGGACAATACCAAACTTACTGAGGTATGATTGAATTTCACTACCCCTTGCGATAAATCAGATACGGCCTATAGAGGGATATTTAAGATCTATAAGATATATCTGACCTACAGTACAGTGCATCCCTGTCATGGACTGTTTAAAGTCAAGTTGTGGCCACTTTACTAATACATTGCTAACCAAAGTGAGATTGATATAAAGCACTTGCCTTGTTTTGTCCAACACTGGATTCATTCACAAGTCCTTGCAAGGAAATTTTGTGTTCACTTAGCTTTGTTAAAAGTGAACTGACTGCAAACTTGCTCGTTTAGCTATTTTCATATATATATCATTCTGTTGCACTTTGTCTTATCTATTGTCACAGGTCAGCGTCTGTAAAGTCTAGCTAGTCTTAATTAAAGACCCTGAGCTACACTTGTCAAAATATAGATACAGAAATTTGTTTAGAATTGTTAAATTTCTTAACCTATAGCTTTAAACCCAAGTTTATATGTTATCTGTGAGGCAATAAAAACCTTAAAGATATTCCCAGATTAGATTTAATTTATATTTAAATTTATTAAACCGGCCAAAAAACCCCAAAAACATTTAAACCCACAGTAGATTCTGACCAGGGATACTGCACTGTATGTTATGGGTTAGAAAAGTAAGCAGTAAACCCCAGTTTGTGATTTTTCATATGATTTCTTTCTCCGTGTGAGTGGCCTGATCTCACCTCCAACACTTTGCTCAGTGTTGAATACATTTGCACACATCCATGCAACATGCGGAACACACTGCACATTATCAGTGGTGTGTTGGTTTAACACGACGCTGGAAAAGAATAATCCAAATGTTGACATCACAACCATGCCTTAATTCTTTTATTTAATAATTTCTGCCTTATTAGTTATAACTTTTTAACTGTTGGACTCTGTGTTTTTAGATGATATAATCATTCGATGCTGCTTTGATTGTAAATCCTACTATGTTTCATCACTTCTTATTTTAGCCAGTGCTGGGGGGATTTAGCACTATATTGATGTGTTCTACTGTTTTAACTGTTTAGCTGGTGATTTTATTTTTATTGACTAAATAAATGTGTTGTCTGAAAAGTTTGGCTACAGTTTTTAAACCATTCATTTTTCAAACCTTTTAAAGGTGAAGAGTGCTGACAAATGCTTATCTGCCTCCTCCCCCTGTCACCTAATAACTTTGTACTTGCATAACAAGTAACCCCATATAATAGTCAGATATTTTGGAGTATCATCTTTGTGCATTCATTTGCATTTAAATGCTCTTGAAACTACAAACTAAAAAGTCCTGTACTGCTGCTGTTTAGAATGTAGCGGAGCTTGTGTTGTTTCAGGTTTTCCTCGAAATGATCATGTGGGATGAGCAGTTGGTGTGAATGCAGTGATTGATTAATTACATGTGCAAAATGTGAATGGGTTTTAATATATCATTAGGGATTATTGATGGCAGCTCAAGTGCCCTGCAGTCCAATATGGTATTGTATGCAGTCATCTTATTCCTTACATTTTCTGAATTCCTAAATGAATTCACTGTTCTTCGCATAAATTGACATGATGGACTTTTGTTTGTGCTGACAACCTGCTGTTCGTTTCATGATCCCAGCCTTGAACCCATCTCGTTACTTATTAATGTGCAGGAGGGGTGTCCTGTGTGGAGGAATGTGCTCATCCCTGTGTTGGTGCGTCTCTAAGGTTACTGGCAGCAGCGGGATGGCGGCCTGTTGTTTGGTGTTAGAAAGCTAAATCTGGCGGTAAATGGGAATTTGTGGATTTTAACAGAAGTCGAAGCGTTTTCTCAAAGTGGGGTTTTCCTATGCGAGTTCATGGAGAACCTGAAGTCGGTCCCTCACTCGGTGAAGCGGTGGCAGCTCAGGGGGACAGACTGTGACCCGCAGCAAGCCCGCAGCCTGCGCGCCGAAACCCGCTTCAGCACCTGGACTCCGCTGAACAACAAGACGAGCAACCTGCAGGTCAGACCAACAAACACCGGCAGAACCTGTTGTGATAGTTTATGGAACAAATCACTAAGTGACATTAGATTTATTTTTTAAAAGCCACCAGATGGCAGGAATGACCCAATTTCTAGGACACATCATATGAGCCTGTTTCAGATTTAACATATAGGCTACATGTATTGGACTATACCATAAATAAAAACCTAGGGACTTATCAAACAGGCCTTGTAGTTGTAGGGGGTGGTGTTGAAACCTTGCATATAAGCCTTAAAAGAACATGTTTTGTGTTTTATTAATGATCCTAACAAGAAGTAACACCAGGGCCAATTAACCTGGTTTGGAACTGGTGTACAAAGTCGCCACTTGCCAGTAACTGCGCGCCCAAGAAAAGATAGATGGCGCTAAGGTAAATGAACTAGTTTGTAATGTATCCAACATTGCATGTTGTTAATTGTGTGCAGAGGTGGTTTTGGGCATCCCCTAGCCTGCCTATTGTAGCTACTGTAGCACTTCTTCACAGAAGCTCTTTCTCAAAACTAAGGGATTTAATCCACATTATTTGTGTGAGGAAAAGCTGTCATGTTTACCTGAGTTTGTAAAAAATAAATGGATTTTGTCAAAATCCCAGATAAATCTTTTCGTCATTTAATTAAACATCTATTTATGAATATTAAAATTTTTTGCCATGTAAAGAATAACTAATAACTTTTTGTTATCCCCACTTTAGTTGAAAGACTATTCTGCTCTATGCATCTTTAGTTTCAGTATGTGCTGCTCCCATCTCCAAATCCTCACAAAATTCACCTGCATATAGTAAAACAAAAGAAGCACGGAGGTTTCCTGAGGTGAAGCCTCTTGTTTCTCCCAAAAAACACAGAGAATGCAAAAGGCCAGCACTCCAAAATGTAAAACGTAAGTCAGGTCTTGGCCTGACTTGATCCTTTTATCAATGGCCCCAGTAGACCAATGTTCTCAGCTGTTATCACACCATCAGCTTTACTCTTTTGTTCTTTGTAATTAATTATCTGGAGTTTTGCCACTCCTGCAGTCTGACTCATTAGTATTTTGGAAGCCAGTTTTGTAGCTTTTGGCAGAGCAGCGACACTCTTGCACCTTCCATATGTTCATCACTGACTGTATAACTTGGTAATGTCCTTTCCCTTTTACTTCCAGTTATTTGAAGAGAGGATGAACCTTGTGTTCCACTGGTTCGATCTGTGGACTGACACACAGAGGAAACACCTGTTGCACTCTCTGCTTACACGCTGCACCAGGTCACAGCTCAAGTAAGGTCTTTTTCTACCCCCTTTCTTGTTGTATTTGTGTCATAATGATCAATTACTGGTAATTTGTTGTTTGTGGTAACTTTGTTTGGTATACTACTTAGCTGGGGCAAGAGAATTTTTTGACATTACCTTTTTTTCTCTGTTTCAAAGTCCGACTTGCAGGATTTAAAATGAAAACCTCTGACAAATTGAGCAGGTGCTGTAGGGATTTTCTGATCGAGTCAGTTCCTGTGACTCAAGTAGACTTCACGGTGGTGCTGCCACGGTTCCTGTCCCTGTATGTGATGTCATTCCTGTCCCCTTGTGACCTCTGCTCTGCCGCCCAAGTCAGCTGGCACTGGAGGGTCCTTGCCGAGCAGGTGAGAGGACCAGCAGAGAGAGATTAGATTTTTTACTTGTGGGCCAAGAGTAATAGAGGATACAGATATGGGGTGGGTGATGGAACAGTGGATAAGACAACTCCCCACTGTGACACGTCCACCAATGTGTCCCTGAGAAAGAAACTTAGCCCCAAGTTGCTCCAGAGGCGTGCGACCTGAGACATAAATAGCAATTGTAAGTTGCTTTGGATAAAAGTATCAGCTAAATGAATAAATGTAATGTAATGTATACGATCAGGTGATAGTCAGGAACACTGACTTTAAGTGAAATCTGAGCTGCCGTTTCCACTTTCCCTCTTTCTTTCTGCCCAGGACTGCCTGTGGGAAGGTCGGTGCATCAGAAGAGGCTGGTTCCTTCCCTACATTCCAGGAGAGAAAGAATATGGAGCGTGGAAGAACCACTATGTCTCTTGCGTCTCCACGCTAGACTGGCTCACTCCCCGGGAGGCGGCAGAGAAGTATGGGACCCTAAACCAACAGATCACAGGGATGACGGAGGAGGAGGAAGAGAGGAGGAAGGAGAGGAGGATCAGGCAGATGATCAGAGACAAAATACAGGAAGAGAAGAGTGAGTGGAAAAAAAATAATAAATTACACGGTCTCACAATTATAAAAAATGGTTCTGAGTTACCTCAGTAAATCTTTTATGCTTTTTTCTCTTTAGTAACCAGAGCTTGTTATCTTTGCAGGACTATCTATGAGAACAAGGAGAGCCTGGGGCAGCTACACAAAACCAGAGGGAGTTAGAGGTGGAAGTACCCAGACAACGAGGCCCAGCTCTAGAACATTCACCTCTTTGCTTTCCTGGCCTACAAGTAATGTCAAGTCTTCCAGCCTCGGTCTTAGCCCGGACAGGCGACAGCCCATGACAGCAGCTTCAAGCTTGGAGAGAGTTTGGGCCTCCAGTCCTAGCAGGTGATGTGTCTACATATTCACTAACCTCCAATGGTATCATTTACCTGTGTTTTAAGATACAATACACGGAGGTACCTGTTTATTAGAAGTGTAACATAATTCAGAGCTCTGTTACAGACAGACAGAGCTCTGTTATAAATCCTTGCGCAAGACACTGAACCTCAAATTGCTCTCAAAGGTCAGGCCAGCGACCTTGCATAGTAGCTTGCTGCCATAGGTGTGTGAGTGTGTGTGTGTGTGTCTGAATAGGTACATTAGAGATAAAAGTGCTGCTGTATTCAAATGCAGTCTATGTTTTTTTATTACTGAGTTTGAGAGGTGCAGATTTTTCAAACTTTGGACAGAGCCAGGGTAGCTGTTTCCCCCTACTTACAGTCTTCATGCTAAGCTAATCGGCTACTGGCTCTTGCTTCATACTTAACTGACAGAAATAAAAAATGTAAAGATTTCTAATTCTAACTACTTACAAGAAAGCAAATAATATTACTTTTTTTAAATAATAAGTTTTTTTTAAAGCCGAGATGTGAATGCTACCCAAACCTCTATCTTGTCTTTTAGTGAAAGAGTGAACAAAGCCAGTGGAGCACTGTCATCCTTCACCTACAGACCTGCACTGCCACAACCACTCTCTCACATCCATCTTCCCACTCCTGCCCTCTTACTGCTGATCTCCAATAGAATTCCTGCCTATGAGGTGAGGTAAAATAAATATAAAGAAAGAGTCTGTCTGTCAGGCAGGCTATATCACCATCTATATTGTGTGATCTGGAAGAGAGCAGCGATGACATAACATTTCTCACTGTCTGCTCGTTTCCTTTCCCCCGTGCTCAATCTAGCTGCTGCTAAGTGGTGTGAAAGCAGGAGTGATTGTGGTTCTCTATGACCATAGAGCAACTCTCTCAGCTTTGTTAACCCAGGTGGAGAGGGCTATTTCTGGGCAGAGAGCTCAGAGGCTGGGCCTACTAGCTCCAGGAGGAACGGAGGAAATCCATCTGCTTCACAGTGAGAATTAATAATTCTGTGTATCTTAATGTGTGGAAACACTGCCAGTGTTTGTCTCCAGTGCTAGAGGTTTATCTCTAAGGATACTATGAAACACATCTGCTAAAATCATTTCATGGCTCATTTTATTTTGATAGTACCTTTTTTAAAAGTCCATGGATATCCATCTCTTGGCTAAGAGTTGGTCTAAGAGTATCTATCAAAAATCATACTTTCTCTCATATCTTTCTTACATTAATTTTACATTACCTATGGACTCAACACACTCCAAAACAGTGAGCCCTGGTTTTAATTTGATATTTCAACTTATTTTTCAAATCTCCTTTTTCTATAACAAACATAAACCACTTCTAGATACATACAAAGTACCTTAAAGATTCCCCAAAATAACACTGTGGCCCATTAATAAATGGATAACTTTATTTAGTTTCTGAAAAGGTGACTTTTTAGAGAACCTTATATGTTTTGTTTTTTACAGTTCAATAATCCACTTTGTTTTCCTTTTCACCCTTCAGGTAGTAGCCTGTCAGAGAAGACTTTACTGACCCCTGACCATAGAGAATTCTGGGAAAAACTATGTGGCTGGGTGGCACCAACTGAGGAGGGAGGAGGGATTGACATCTTCTCCCCTCTTGCTGCATCTGGTGTGTAGCAACAGATGTTAGGACACGCACACTTCTCTGGAGTCTGTGTTTTAATCACCATTTCTGCTTCTCACTAACTTCCTCTCTTGCTTTCTCTCTCTTCCGCAGCATCAGGAGTGGCTCTCATCCAGACTCTCTCTACTCTGACTGGTCTGGAGGTTCAGGCGCCAATGGGTCTTGCCACCGGAAGTTTCCAGAACAGTGAGTCACTCATGCACAAAACCTACTCAACTGACAAACTTCAGTTGAGAAATTTTTGTCAAGAACGGCAAGCTGAGGAATATTCTCTGTGTAACCTCAAAACTACCTCTAACACCTCTAAAAAGTATCTAAACCAGCAGGAGCCTGGTGTGATTCTTGGCCCAGTGGGATGTCTTGACTTTCTTGAAATAATTTTAAAAGGTATAATCCCCAAATCAAACCCAATTTTTCTCTAATAGCCATTCAATGGTTTTACATTTAGTTATTACTTACTTACATACTTACATACTTACTTACTTACTTACTTACTTACTTAATATAGGAGTTTTCATAGTAAGTGGCGGGGTCCGCCATTCCAGCATTGTATTCAAAAAACTTTCACGTCCATGCATGCAGTGCAGCATAATTTTACGTCATTAATGACCAGCCTGATTGTTTACTCTTCACTCTCTTTACGACACCTCAGAGCTGTATTAATGTCAACGGAACATCTTACTGCCACTGCTTCAGATTGTTGTGTTCAACTCACAAAAAAGGGGATGGCTTTTATTGTGAAGACGCCACAGGAAACACAATGTACATATTTGTCACTGTGGTTGGCATTGGCCACGATAATCAAAAATGTCATTCTTTGACAAAGCAGCTGCTCAAGGAGTGTTTGCTGTAGTTTTACACCACACATGCTGTTACTACGTTAACCATTAGTGTTGTCTAAATGTATTAGAACTAAAAGTTGTTTAGCTTATCATTAGTAAAATGTTAAACACCATGTTATATAAAGCCATATGTATGTAAAGAAATGTGTTTTTGTTGCCTTCTCTTAGTCCTGAGTGAGTGGTCTGACAGCAGTGTTTGCACCGGACTTTCCAACCAACAACCAGTAGCCCCAGCAGTGCAGTTTGTGTGTGAGAGTGTACTGCAGGGCTGGTGCAGACAGGCTCAGTGGATGGAGGAGGCTCTGGGGGAGCTGAGGGGCTGCCTGGGGCCACAGTTAGAACGGGTCAGCCTCCAGGCTAGGGGCCGAGCTCTGGGTGGGTTTCACACACATGTAGATTTAGATTTGCAGGCACACACAGCTGCACCAATAGCAGGTTTAAACAAATGCCTGCATACTCTGTGTCCTGTAAAGTTTCTGAAGAGTCTGTTAATATATTTATAGGTAACTTTCTGTGGGAGAAAATCTGCCTTGAGGAGCTTTGTGTGTCCAAAGATCTGAATGAGGCTCTGACTGAGGGACTCACTGCTCTCACAAGACAGGAAAAGGTGGGAATTACTGTAAAGGAGTTTTTTTTAACACACAAGTACAAAAAATAAGATCAAAAACTTTTGGTCATGTTCTCTTCTATATGCATCAGTTGTACATAACAGTCTGTCAATCCATGTTTGTTTCTATATTTCTGCTCTAACATCTTCAGACAAGACCTTTGGAGTTTCTTGCTGTCTTCTTGTCAAGATGGAGTGAGGAGAGTAATGGAGAGGAAAAGAGGCAAAACAAAAGAGCCGATGATTTCTCTTTCTTACCACATAGCTCACAGAAATGCCTCAGTCCGATGATATCTGAGCTACCACAGGTGTGTGTGCTTTGAGCTTGTCCATTCAGAGAAGATTGAAGGAGCACACTTCATCTTTACAACCTCTTTTTTTCCCTCCTGTCTGTAGACGGCGTTAGATTGGAGAGGCGCAGTTGCCAGAGAGCTGCACCACAGCGAGTGTATTTATATGGGAAGACTGGGCGCTGTGGTGAAGGTACAACTTCCATTTTTAGACTATAACATTAAAAACAACAAGACAAGTAAATTGTCAATGTTCGTTCAGGAAATTATGAAACAACTATCACATGTTTAGTTGCCGAGAGGTCATTGTTGGCAAGTTCACTCGACATGAAGTCTAATCAGACTTTTCTCTGAAACTGAATTAATATTAGGTAATGCTGTCAACTCTGATGGTTAGTTGATAGGAACTGGGCCCTTTTAGCAATCTATGAGGAGTTTATGAAATACCTTTTCAAACGTGGTGTTTTAGATGTTAAATGAATCATGGTTCTGCAGTTGCATGGCCTATTTTTCCCAGCTGTTTTTACTAGAATCAGATTCATCAAGGATCATTTAGATGTTTTCAGAGCAACCACCAGCCCAGCAAGTTTTTTGTTTGTTCTTTCGGTGCACGGAGGGTTTGAGCTGATGTCTAAGTATGTCTAAGTATTTGAATACCAAGATATTTTATTACCACCTGTGCTTCCTCTGTGCTGAAGGTGTACCAGGAGCCTCTTACAGCAGCTCTGAACTCCAACAGAGCCATACTAAGCTATGCTGACATCCACATTGTACTCAACCCTGTCACACAAATACTGGAGCTGAACAGGTACACACACAAATATTTGTATGATAGTCTTGTTTGAGTCCCTTTATGTGGACACAGTGTGTGTTTGGTGCAGGGTGTTTCACATAGATTTACAAGCCAGGCTGCAGCAGTGGGGTGCAGAGCAGTGTGTCGGAGATGTGTTTGTGAAACTGTGCTCAAAGCTCAGAGTCTACACCAACTACCTCAACAACTACCCCACTGCCCTCCATACCATTGACAAGGTAAAGTCAAACAACATGTTTTTGCCGATCATGCTAACAAGCTAAATCATTCCTAGTGTGTTCTGTCTATGCTGCTTTTATGTAGAATTTTGTCAGCTTTTATTTTTCTTTCAACTGTAGTATGTAACTGTAACTGTAATGTGTTGTGTGTGTGTGTCTGTCAGTGCAGGGAGACAAAGCCTTCATTTCGGGCTTTCCTGAAGAGAGCAGACAGATCTCTTGCCACACACATGCTGAGGTAACAGACACACATGTGTATCTTTTATTTGTTTGGGAATTATTAATCATACCTGACTGAAAGACTTTTTTAAATTAATTGAACTGTAGTGTTTACGCACATGTTTGTATGGATGTGTTTGTGAAGCCTACAGGAGCTGCTGCTGTGTCCAGTGTGGAGAATACAGGAGTATGTGACTCTGCTTCAAGCTCTGTCTGTACACACACACCCCGGTCACCCTGACCACACACACCTCTCCTCCGCCCTCAACACCCTGCTACAATTCAGAGAATTCATACAAAAGGTACAACACTCACACAAAGCGTTAATTTGATATGTGGCTGTGTATGTCTGTGTACAGATGTTTTCTTCTGTTTCAGTTAAAATGTAACTCTAAGAAAGAAAGGCTGATGGAGGAAACGCAGCAGAAGATCCAAGGCTGTCCGGTAAAAACACAGCTACCTCTCTCTGTGTTTTGTATTTTTTTCTCTCTCAAAACAACATAGAAACTAACATGTGGAAGTGTTTTAAAATTATGTGTCCTGTTTGTATGTATGTGCAGAACCTCAGTGAAGGAAACAGACAGCTGATAGTAACTCAGGACGCTGCTTTGCTCAGGAGCCCTGATGAACTGATTCCTGAATCGCTCAGGTAACAACACAATTATTGCTGTTGATCAGTTGATTTATATCAGTTTATATCCAGAAACATTCTTTAACCTACTCATTCAGAGTTTTTCTTATTTACTTTGAGTGTTGTATTCTACTTAATACAAACATTTATTCAGAAAGACAGATTTACCTGAACAAACTGATGCTGCTACTTTGGAATCTATGTCTAGTAACACATATATTAGGAAACTTTGCACAATGAAGTAGGACTGGGAAATATGATCAAAAATGTTATCACGATAAAAACATTTCATACCATTCAATATCGATAAATGTCAAATGATTATTTCTTTCAAGTTTAAAGGCTGATTTTTGCTCCTGAGTGAAAATTGAAGAAACCCGATGGTTAATTGTGTTGTTAAACAGTGGATCACTTCACAAATCTGAGGTAGAACATTCAAAACAATTATCATAACTAATATGATGAGTAAATAGATTTTCAGTCCCTTTTCCTCAACAAAATAAATATCTTAATAGAAAAATTAAGTGATTAAAATTAATTCATTCAAACATTTATTGACCATATATTGAACATGTTATATTGTTATTGTGGAAAATTATATTGTGATAATTATCATTATTGCATTATTGCCCAGCCCTACAATGAAGTGCTGTATGTTTTAAATGACATTAGAGTTAAATGCAAGCTTGTGTATATATATTTATATACTATAAGTAATTTGTTTCATTCTGTGTGTGTTTGTGTGGGCGCCTGATTAGGACCTATGAGCATGTGTCTGACGTGGGCCTGTTCCTGTTTAATGATGCTTTAGTGTTAACGCGGCGAAACGTGCATCACACACCTTTCACATTGGCTCACCAAAGCACTCACACTTTCCTGGCCTCTGTGGCTCTTGCCAGCCTGTCTGTCAGAGAGATCGCACGTACACGCTGTGAGTTTTAACCATATAAAGACTACAATATATACTGAATATTGGCACAGCTATGATAATTTACAGTAATCTGTTCATTAATGCAGAAGTTACGGGAATATGTCTTTCTCTACAGATGTGTGTCATGCCTTTGTCCTGGAGGGTCCTTGTCGTTCCTGGGTTTGTGCCACAGAAAGAGGTGAAGAGAGAGAGCACTTTCTGTCTGTGCTTCGCTCAGCTATAAACTCTGCTTTAACAGGACATCAGTGACAGCACTATGATGAAACACCAGCACAGCAAAAGGAGGTTTGGACACCACTGTTGGCCCTGGTTATTTGAAAAAGTAATTTTTTAAAAAGTTCAGGAGATCTCAAAAGGCAGTTATTTCTCCACTCCATGATATGATGTAAAGACAGCAGCAGTTTAAATGGTATTCTTAGTGTCCCGCCGTAAAAGTATTTCCAGAGGTAATCCTATAGTCACAGTAATTACTTTTATAAGTCAATACAAAGAAATGAAGAAGTGTTTTTAATTTGCAATATGTGGAAGTTATAAATTATTATGTCACTGCTGTACAATAGCTGGAAGGTGCAATGTATTACAGTACATGTCAAACAGTGTCTGGGTTACCATGATGTATGTGTAGAAATGTATATAAATTTCTACACTTACATCATCACAATTTTCTGATACTGCACTCACTGACTCCAAAACCGTAATGACTCAGTGTCTGCTAGATATGTTTGACCCCATCTATAGATCGTAACAAACTTTTTTTATGCATGCATATTTGGATATAAATAATACCTGAACATAATACTGTTGGAAGAATAGCATCAAAAAATGACAAAACTTTGACTGTACAGCATGATTGATGCAGCTCCTTAAAATCAAGTTCTTTACTCTTGCACTGTAAACCTGTTATGGCTTAAGTTAAAAACTTCTCTAGTGGTTTCATTACAGCCTTTATGAACTTTTTTTAGTTTAGTTGTTTTATGTATCATATGTTGCCCTGTCAGAGGCAGTGGATATTAGAAAGTGCTTTGTATTTTCCTGTTTTGTTTTGTCTTGTGTAAGTAGCTGTGTGTAAAACAGTCTATGCGTACTTACTGTAGACTGGGAACATTGTGGGCTTTATTTTTACTGTAATCATGTTGACAATGCTATTTTTTCAGCTTAATTTTTTTAATTAGCTTTGATTTAAAAATTGTAGTAAGGTGTTTATTTTGAATCAATCAGTTTAATCAATATTTACAGCATCAAGGTATCACTGTGACTTTTTCCATCGTAAAAAAGAGAGACATTTCTCTTTTTCCAGGTATAAAAAGTCTTTATGGATAACCAAAATAACACAAATGTCACATTTGAGAGATTATCACTATCAAGGAGCTGCATTACAACACATCACTTATACATTTATGTACATTATTGCCACTTATTTAAATAATAATATCCATGTGTCCCATCTCTAGAAATAGATAAATGGCCGTGTCATTTTCTGTATGTCTCAACAGATAAAGTAACTAAAGATCAATAAAATGCTGACAATACAAACAACATAACTATATAACATACGTAATGTTCTAGTATTACTTTTCAGTTAAATTTATTAAGATCACACAAATATGTGACAGTAAAATGAACATTGGGAGTACTTTTTAAAAATTTTGTATGTTTATTTACATCTAATACAGTTTGTGGGCTACACATTAAACATGATATTGACACAGAAATATGCTGCATTTTGCCGTCTTCAGAGCATCATATATGAAGATAATGTAATAGTGGAACAGTAGTTTTCTTAAAAATTTCATAAGTTAAAAAATAATTAAATGGTACACATTGAGTTATTTTTCTTTTGCTTATAGATTTTACACTGTCTTTTAATATCTGAAGTAACTCAGGGGATGTTTTTTAGTGTAGGTGAAATGTACTGTAAGCTGACCTTCGGCCCAAAAAGAAGAATCACTGATATCACAGTCTGCGGTTCACTAGATGTGGGTTATTGTTGTTGTTGTGGTGTGCTGCAGGCATGTGGGTGGGCTGCTCCTTCCCAGTTGGCGGCTGGCTCTTGTTCTGCAGGCCCACGTTCGCCGCTGTACTGTTTGCCCCTTTCTGGGAGCTGTAGCCCTTTGGTTTGGGGATTCTTGTCGGTCCTGGTCGTCGGAATGCTTCTAGAGGGATCTGTGGAAAAACATAGATAAACAATGAAGTAAAGTCTGACAAAGAGTGGTAATATTGTAGTTTTAAGAACAGTACTGTGACTTATAGCGAAGGAAATGAAGAATTGGTGGGGAGAGAATGGGATAACCCGAATATGACATTGATGTTGACTTAAGATGTGATGCAGTACTGATAATGACCACTAGATGATATCAAATCATATTTTATGGACAGTAAATGACCACAATGCACTTTGGTTTTGTACCTATTTCAGTTTTTGACATGCATAGTTACTAGTTCTTGCAGTTCTGTAATTAAATTGTAATTAAACTTTTAATCTAATGTTCCAAGTGAAAAGGAGACTTCTGCCAGGGATGCTGTCAAAGATGAAGATGAAAAACCGAGCTCCTCCCATTATTAACTCTGTGAGTTTGTTGCTTAGAAACCAGTGTTTGCTTTCTTGCAAACATAAAGGAACTATCATGAGAAACATCACATCACATTTCTCAGATTTTTAAACAACTTACTGCTCCACTTACTGTGCAATCACTTGTTAATCAGCGTGTTTACATGCACAGCAATGTGCCAGGATACTGAGGTACATCACTTTTGGATTGGTGCTTGTACAGTAGAAACCGTTTCCTGTTTACAGAAACTCTGATAAGATGTTTCCACAATTATGGGTAACATCAGCTACAATACTGAGCCATACGCACCTCTTTCATTTCTAGTATGTTTTGTGTACTTATTGCAAATTCATGAGCAGGATACAGTGATTTGTATAAACAGCTCATACATGAACTCAATTTTCCAAAGTACTTTGTGTGTGTAGCTACACTAGCTGTCATCTAATGCAGTAGACACAGAAAATGTTCTTTCATATTTCTTGTTTTTATATCGTATGTCTCTATATTTCTAAAGATCAATAATACACATTTACACATTTTTAATCTCTGAGTATCCAGACAGATGTCTGAGTCTCTGTGTCTTTTCAAGTTCATACTAAATTACACTGTGGCAACAGTCAGCTGGCAATTATTTTCTTCAAAGCTATCAAGGGATTTAATTGGCACATAGTTTAATTTTGAATCACATAGTCACAGTTTGGTTCTTCCTTTCATCAGCAGCTACATTTGCAAAAGCAAAAGTAGTTGCAAATTATCAATTAAATTATCAATTAATTGCAAAATTATCAATTTGAATTAACATCATTGCATCTTAGATATGCATAGGTATGCCCAATGCCTCTTTGAACCAAACAATTTTTGGGCAATAGTGTTAATTAGAGTCAGACGTTGAAGCTACCTCTTTGACAAAATGTGTCATCGATGTGTTCTACATTTCTGCAGCTGTGTGAAACTGAAACTTTTCAGTTTTTCCATGAGTTTCATCACACCCACTGACTTTATTCCCAAGCAACACACTGAACACCAAACCTCTCGCTGTGACTTGAGAAAAGGACTTGGATGTTGTTCACATGTGGCGTGAGGTTTTAAGAATTAACAAAAATCTACAGTGAACTACGTCCTTAAATATTCATTCGGGGTATAAATTTCAGAATAAGTAGGGCCTGAGCTTCAGCAGAGCTAATGGGCCAGAAAATCTGTATGGGCTCCACGTCATGGGAGTGTTGTTGATTTTACATGGAAAGAGGCCTTAATGTGCGGCTTTGTTCCCTCGTATATCAGCGGTGCAGCAGGAGTTCAACTAAGTACTTCCTCTGCTCTGCGCTCTGCAATACCGGCGCTGCTGTTTCCCCGGCAACCAAACACAAGGTTTGTTTTGGTGTGTGAGAGAGGCTACTTTCTCAGTGTCTACTCTCTCACACGCACCATGAAGGCTTTTGTTTAGAGAAAGCCCCCATACCACTGTTAATAGTCCTTCCCTGATTTTATTATGCCTGTCAGTCAAGGTGAGCAAATTCCTCTGCAATTATTATCATTGTCAGCTAAAACGAGAAAATGCACTCTCGCCTGGAGTATGATACGCAACTTGTCTTTCTGGCATGCAGTGTGGTAATTAGACTTTTTTGGCTGCACTTGATTCACATCAGTAGCTGATTGTTTAAAATGACATCAAAATGTTTGGTGTTTTTGATGTTTTATTTCACCCTCAAAAAATGCTGCTGTTAATCAGCAGTGTCATTGTGACTTTACTGTGATTACAACCTCGTTCTTAGCCAACAGAAGCAAGCATCACTGTAGGCTTTTCAAGAAAATATCCTTTGGCTTTCAGTGCGTCACTTGATACTCATTTTATCAGTCTGGCAGGGATACCATTTGCAGATCTGTCTTCCTTGGCTGAACCAGATGAGTGCAGTTTATGAATTGAGCAAGTCTTAAGTGAGTCAGAGGGTAATTGAGGTTGCAGACAGCAATCCCAGCTGCTGGCTGCTTCCTCGGATAGTGGTCTAATGAATAGCATCTTGTTTAGCCCCTGCATCATTGCATCGTGCCCAGACTGATTTGGATCCGGTTTCTCCAGCTGTGCTTCTTCATACTCATTCAATTTAATGCTTGATTTAATTCTCTCCTCCTTGTCACACTGATTTGTGTGTGTTCACCACTTTACTGCAACAGTTGTCTTCCTCCATCTAAATGCCACTGAGAACTTGGTACATGCTTTATAGTATTGTTCAGCTCTCAGCTCTGTCCACCAAAAAGGTACCCATCTGCTTTTAAACTACAAGGGACATTGTTTTGAAAACATGTCTTCCCCATATGTGGCTGCTGCTTTGGTGCAAGCATTGTCAGCTTCCTCACTACATTGACTTTATCGTGAGCTACATAAGCATCCTGGATGAATATGAAGCAAAGAATACCAGCTTTTATTGATATACTGTACCAACAAGACTTAGCCTTGCCACTGTCTGTAAACACACACACACATAATCTACAGAGACAGTACTTATCAATTTGCTCTGCATCTGTTCTTTAAAAACCAGCTAATCCATCTGACAGATGAAGCACGATTAACTATTGTTTGAAATGGTATAGTTACTTGCGTATCTGCCACGCATTTGAAGTACCACTACAGTGCATATTCAGACTTTTGGTGACCTAAGGCTATAATGGGCACATTATATAGTCAGTTCTTTTTTACATTAACTTTGTATTTAGACATGACATTAATGAATGTACTGCACCAGATAAACTCATTCCACATCCTCCCCATTGCATCTGCTGTCTTCCTTTCCCACATCCCTTCCATTCCGCCATCCACTCATCATCTTGTTCTGACCTTCGGAGAAGATTTAATTTAAATGAATCGCACGTATGTGGTAATGTTTCCACTGTGGGCACATAAAACCACATGTAGAAGAATGCATACATGGACAAACATTCGGGATGACTCATATCAAAGGACATGATTCATGGGAGAAAGCATAATAAAACAGACGTTTTGGGTTACTACCCAGTGACTAGCAAGCTAAGTGAAACTTTCTGTTAAAAGACCACTGAGGTTAAGCTATCAACAAATACATTAGTGTTTCTGAGACCCAAACATTGTCTAAGGTTCTCTGAAGGGGCTTTTTGATGTTTACTGTGTTTCCTGAGGTGGCAGCACTCTCAGAAATGAGCAATAAAGGGCAGTTTTTCTCTTGCATACCCACCAGTGAAAGATCTGATTTTCTTTGTCATACTATGTAGATCCCAGGTGGATCAGTCATTTTCAGAGCAGTGCCCAGCACCCATTCGAAGTGTCTTGGGTAAGATACTGAACACTTAAATTGCCCCCGATGGCTTTGTGAATTTCAGCATGTAAATATGTGTGAATTTGTGTTCTGATTAGCAGTTGGCACCTTTAGCGTATGCCATTAATGTATAAATGTGTGTGAATTATAGCGACATAGTGTAAAAGCGCTTTGAGTGGTGAGAAGACTAGAAAGGCGCTATACAAGTACAGACCATTTACCATTTAAGGGAAAGAGTGTCTTGCTCAAGGACATCTCAGCTGATCACTGTCTTGATCTGCTGCTAATACAGTTTGTCATTGAGGACCAGAGAGAGATTGAACAGCAGTCTTTACATGTGAGTTTGAAATCTTGTGAACAACCTTTTGCACTGTCTGATGCATTAAAGCAAAAAGATACTTGCTTGAATTGTAACCATGTTTCAGTTAATCTTCCATCCTAACCGTGTTTTATTAGTATACGAAAGTGCACTGAAGAAGAGTAACTGTAATTCAACAAATCACTGCACTTTTTAAAATAGATTCACCTCCGTCAGCAGTGTTATGGAGCACCACTCTGAGGTTTAATGGTTTAAATCTAAGTTTCCGTTGTATCATTTAAGAGAACACCAAGTTCACATCATGCTGGTTTTCAGTCTCGGTCACTGGGTTTCTGTGCTCTGGATGTAAGAAGAAACTATGACATCAGCCTATGATTTTAACTCAAGCAAGAGAATCCCAGAAGGTTTTTTGTCTCGTCATCTGGTCAAAAATGAGCACAAAGGTTTATCAGGCAACTCTTCCACTTGGGTATTATTTAATTAGGTCTAACAAAGTGTTGACAGTCTTCATGTTCAAATCTGAGAAAGTAAATTATAATCTTTTGACTACACACTGTGTAACAAACACGTTGGATTGAAGTGTTAAACAGTTACTGTGCATGCACCAAAAGTCAACTCAAACATCTGATTTCAATCTAATTGCAGTTTCCTAAAATAATTTTAATTTTACACATTCAAAGCATGCTGGATTTAGTGAGTAAATGAAATTTGCAAGCATGGATAACAAACTATAAAACATAAAACTTATTTTTGCACACTTTAATTCTCAGAAAATCAAACAACGTAATCATAATGCAGTATGTGTAATATGAAGTATAAAAACTGGTATGATACATCAGTGTGAATAGTCTGACTCCATGGCAAATTGGCCACTGAATATAATACAGTAAGTGCACATAAGTTAAAACTTGGTGTTATGTCAAATTAAATCAAAATTTCTAGTACTTTCAAATGGTATTGTTTTCTCATGCAGGCAAACAATTGTTTGAACTAAATCACACAGAACCAAGCAAACCAACCAAAATAAAAAGAAAACATTCAAACCCCAATTTTAAGATCATAAATCAAGTAAAACAGACATGTAAAAGCATCCGGGTATAGAGTTGGAGTACTGTATAAGGGTCTATGGTTGTATTGGATCTCATGGGCAGGATTCAGTAACAAAGGATGGGATGGAGGGTTTTGGTGGTTATCAGGTCAGTCATAGACATTACTTACTGTAATTTGTGATGGCCTTTGGATTGGGGTGGAGGTGGGCTTAATCATGATGCTACTCGTGATTTTGCTGTTGCCTTTGGCAGTAGGAGTACTGCAATTTGCAAACACCTGAGTCCTTTGCTCCTGGAGTCCAGACGTGTGGCATGGACTCAGAGTTTGCGTCGGAGTGCTAATACTCTGAATGAAGGGGCTCCCTAAGTGAATGTGGATTTTGTTGTCCTCCGTGGTGATGACGTTTGGCCCAGAGCTGTTAGACCTCTGGACCTGCCAATTGGTTTGCCTTTCCGGTGTCACACGGAAGACGGCGTGCCCTCCAACAACCTCTATCGGCTCTGTGGAGAGGGATCGTTCAGGGGTACCTGTTGTGACCGACACAATTTGTATAGGTGACATGGCTCTGTCTGGTGTGACGGAGCCACAAGAGTCTGGAGTCATTGCTCTTGAGTATGTAGCCATAGTGAAAGGCGATAGGGCCCTATCTGGTGAACACGGTTCATCAGTCATTGGGGAACCTTTGGATTTTGTGGTTGGGGAAATGGATTTTGCGGTAGGGGATATGGAAGCATTCTGGATGATGGTAATTCTCTGTTTGGGAGGACCTCCACTTGTGGGTATGACGGCAGTGCTGGTGAATGACTGGGTGTTTTCTGTGGTTGGGCTGGTGATCTCTAGCATTGCTGTGTTATGTCCGTGGTCAGGAGTCACTTTAATGTGCAGTGGCTGCCCAGGACTGTGGGTCAACACAACATCTCCAGGCTGAACATGGTTGCCATTCTGCCATGGTTGCACTTTACCATTCACCTGATGGGGGGTGTCTTTGTTTTTAAGGAATGGGACTCGCGCTCTCCTCAAGTTGTTGTTGAGATTATTTACGTTATTCATTAGTGAGGGGCTGCATTTGGTGAGCTGAAGCTCGTTGCTGTAATTTGAATTTTCTTCAGCTTCGCTCTCGTCGTACAGCTTCCCGTTCACCACAGCACATTCCAGTGGTGCCATTGTCTTACAGTTAGGAGACATGAGGTCAAGTGGCTCTGTCTGAACTTCCTTAGTGGAAACGTGAAGGTCTGAAAAGCGCCTTCCATTCATGCCAGGGCGAAGACTTTTGCTAAAGCGTCTGTATCTTTCAAGCTCTCTCGTCAGTGTCTCCATTTCTCTGGCCAGTTCTTTGTTTCGGACCTCCTGCTGGGTCAGTTTTCTTTGCAGTGTAGAGTGGTCAGTTTTCATGCGGCAAATTGATTCCTCGGTTCCCATGTATTCGTGGATCTTCTCTTTTAGAGCTGCTACCTCTCTGGTCAAATGACTAGACTTTGCCTCCTCCTCTTTCAAACGTTTATAAAGAACATGCTCTTGGTTGCACTCTTTCTTTTCAGCCAGTTGGTACTTTGAAAGTTCATTTCTGCATATTTCCAGCTCTTCCAACAAGACTTTAGCTTTCTGTTGTTCATTGGTGAATCTTTTCTCCATTGATTCATATTCGTCTGTTTTTAAGAAGTCACCTTCTACCACCTTCATGTCCTTTAATTTGCATCTGAGGCGTTCAACCTCCTGCGTCAAATCCTTTACTTTGTTGTCTTCTTGCTGGAAGCGGTTAGCAACAGGTGTTTTGATGTGCTCCTCTTTAGCTTTGTTTCTCAGGTATTCTCTTTCTATGGTCTCTAGTGATTGCAACCTTTTCTTCATCATATTGATCTTCGATTCCAAGTCATTGCTCCTTTCCTCCTCAGCCCCCAACTTGGCCTTCAAATCGTCCCTTTCCTTTGTAGCGCTGCACATTTTATCCTCCAGCTCAGCCTTTGACCTCAGTGCTTTCTTGCTCTCCTCAATTAGCTTCTCTGTGACTGACGTAACTTTGTCTTGTTCAGCCTGAAGTTTGCCAGTGCTGTTCTGGACTTTGTTTTCCATTTGCTTTAGCTTCTCTGCCATTGCCTTCCTCTCATCCACCAGCATGACTGTCAGAGTTTTTAACTTGGTTAGATCTTCCTTCAGTGTCAGCTCTGTCTTTCCCAGTTGGCTTTCAGCAGCCTCCAGTTCTTTGACCCTGACTTTCAAGACATCTAGCTCACTGGTGAGAACCTTTGACACCATCCTCTCCTTCTCCAGGTTACTTTTCAGTGAGCTGCATTCTTGTTTGCTCTTGCTGAATGCATCCTCTAATTTCTCTAAGTCCATAATTCTGTGGTTCAGTTTATCGACTTCAGCCTTCAGGCTCCGGCTTTGATTGGCCTCTTTCTCCAGTTTCTTGTTGAGGTCCCTGCAGTGGTCCTCCATTCTGATCAACTCTTCATCCTTTCCCTCCATTTCAAGTACCCTTTTGCGTAACTCTTCAAGCTCAGACATGAGGCTAGAGTTTCCACACTCACCACGGCTAATTTTGTCCCTTAGCTCCAGCAGTTCCTCCTCGGTCCTGCGCAGGGTCTTGTTGGTCTCTCCCAGCTCATCAAGCTGCCTGCTGAGAGTTGACAATTTCTGGCGCAGCTGCCTGTTTTGGGCATCCTCACTTGTCAATTTGGCAGTCATGGCCTCTTGTTCCTGATGGTATCGACCGGTTTGGCCACGCAGCTCAGCCTCCAAGCGAAAGACCTTTTGCTCCTCTTCCTGCAGACGGGCATTAGCTGAGCTGAGCTCCTCCTGGGCTTTTGAAGCACTGATACTCAGTTCTTGGACCTTAGTTGTTTGTTGATTCAGCTGCTCAGTGAGACGCTGCTGTTCATCCACAACCATCAACGCAAATGACTTGAGTTTTGTCAGCTCCTCCTTTAGACTTGTGACCTTCTTATTGTTCTCTGTGTCCTTTCTTTCCTGGTAGGCCTTTTCCTGATCAATTAACAGCTTCAACCTGTAAAAAATAAAAGCAAAGCAAAGGTGATCTTTGAGGAGTCCAATGCATACAAAATAGAGAAAGTCCGGTCTTTCCCTCTGCAGATGCATTATAAAGTAGTTGCACTCTATTTATACCATTGTACCTTTTACATTTCCAATAAACCTTCCAGTGAAATACATATTTAAATCATTGATAAGCCTAAACTGTCTGTCTTTTTTCTTATGTTATATATAAAGGTGCTAAAGAAGCTCTACACCCCCACTGTTATTACCAATTGGGCCCACTTCTCCAAGCACTGACACATCATAAACACTGTTATTTTCCCTGCATTTCTGAGGAAGACTAAAATTTTTATGTCATGGAAAATTTAACACATCATAAAAAAGCATTACTTTAACTCTCTCAGGTTGGTAGTCTGAAATACTTGTGGTTAAATTTTTTTGTTTCGTTGTTGCCAGCTAATTCTCCTATGGTTTGGAAACTTGAATTACTGCTATAAATATTGGACCTTAAGTTTAACAATCAGTGAATTTCAAAAAGTTTCCATAGTATTTGAAGGTGTACCATATGGCCTATTAAGACCTCTGGGAAATAATGGGAAAAGACTGACACACAGCCAAATGTTGATCTCACCAGATCTCACCATATAAGATGAGCAATAATGTGGATGTTTCCTATCAGGATGTTCTTTGATTTAGCTGCTGTTCTTTGTTGGTAATCTACTGCAGTGCTTTTAGTGTATCTTTCATTAAACATCAACTATGTATTAAAGTGTAGAGTACTTACTGTTGAAATTCACCACTATAGACTACAAAAATCAAAGGCAGTAAAGTAAAATGTCAATTAGAAAGGTGAAAATATGTGCTATTTATATTTCAACTACTTCAACAACTATCCAGATGTGGTACAAATTACTCAAATGATGTCAAGGTACATTGTATGTGTGCCACTTGCTTTTAGTATAGTGCGTAGCCGGGGTCAGTGTGTCTGGCACATGCATACATCACCAGGCCAGTGTGCCTACAGACCCTGGGGAAGGTATGTTATGACTGCTGTGTGTGCAGCTGCCAGGCATTTCCACACAGATGGCCCACTGGCATGGAACAATTGTTTAATTAAGGGGTTCCTCTACTACCAGCTCTCCTCCCCCTTACCAAAACCACCACCACCTACCCTCCTTGGTTTTTTTTTTCTTCTTATACATTTAAAGGAATTCCCCCTGCTCCCAAAGGCAATTACAGTCTCACAGAGTTTATACAGAAATCCCCCCACTCACACAAACACACACTCTCAGAGATCACTAATTCCACATGTATACTTGGGTTGTGGGTCATGATGTAAGTGTGGTAGGGCGGGTCACTTCTCAGCAGTAGAGTGCGTGTCGTTTCTTTCTTCAGTAGCTGCTAAAGGGTTGGGAGCAGGTAGAGGGACACATGTGACTGGACACATGTGTTGCAATTAGATGTAGACCAAACACACAAAAATAGGATTTGGATAATAATTTGTGAGTGTGGTTTTGATTGATTGGAGATGTTGGTTTGTTTTATGGCAACGTTTCAAGAAGCAAATACACTATTATTATGAATAATGCTGTAAACTTTATTTTATGTAAACTGGATCCCGTTAAAACTAAAAGTGCATTTCCCAAAAGGATGTGCCATTTAAACAGGGTATAGTCCGAGCAACTTTGGGACAAAATGATGACACAGCCTCTGTTGGTTGTTAATATCGTGGAAATTATATTCCTGGTGAGGGGCTGAGCAAATAATTGAGTTACAACAAACCGTTGTCTTTGAAGAATTTATTTAACAAAAGAGAATAAACAGAGAAGTACTACAACACAAATCAGCTGGACCAGAGGTTCTGTCTCCTAAGACAGTCACTAAGGATAAAACACAATACATAATATTAATAATAGCAAAAGAACATACATAAAAGATTAAATGTAAGAGGACACATTTTAACAGTTAACATTTTGCACTGATGAAAAGTTAATAAGTACACTTACTCAAGTACAAATTTGAGGAACATTTTAGGGCAAATAGTGTACTTTTCACTCCACTGCATGTATTTAACAACTTTATTTACTAGTTGCATTGCAGAATCAGACTATTAACACAAAATACAGTAAGTAATAAAGAATAAATGATTAAGTAAGCCCCATTGCCAGCTACCTGCAGAAAGAATGTTCAATAATTATATGGGCCATTATGCATAATAAGTACTTCTTTTTTTTTTGGTACTTGAGGTGTATTTTTATGCTTACTTATGTACTTTTACTTAAGTAAAATTTTGAGTATGTGACTTTTACTTATGAAAGAGTATTTCTGCACAGTGGTATTGCTACTTTTGATAAAAAAGGATTTGAGTACTTGACAAATGTTTTTGTTGATCCCTTTTTATTTTACAGACAGTTCCAGGTGCTCCGATTCTTCTTTTTTTGGACTAGCTTTGCTGACATAAAGTTTGACCTTGTTATAATCTGGCTGCTAGAAGTGTTGATAAAATATGTTAATCATCTTTCATACTTTTTTCAAGGACTCTGGATAAGAATGTCACGCAAGGAAGTACGCCCACCTTATCTAGAAACATACATGTGTTGAATATTACTTTTTTTTCTAATGGACTTTGTATGTAGAAACACTGGGTTGCTAAGTGAAACAAGCAGACATATCTCTTGCAAACTAGCCTGTGGCCTGTAATCACTGTTTATTCAAACTCTTATCTCAGTCCCCACTGTTTTTCTCGTGATGTCATCAGCCAAAATAGAAAGAACTTTGTTGCTTTGTTTACTTTGTTTCCTTGTAGGACTGGAAACTCTTGTTTGTTGTCCTTAACTGGGTATTAATCCTGTATACTGACACAAGGGTTATATTTGCGCTAATAAAAGCAAATCCTGGGAGGAAACTGCATGGCTCCTATGCCCAAAATACACAGCTCGCCTCAGACCAATGATATCACTTATGTCTTAATGGGACTATATTGCTGTATTCCCGATGCACTTTGTGGTAGATAAGGAAATGTTTATCCAGATCACTTGTTCCTGAACTTTTTCTCATCAAGGGCACACACATAGATAAGTGTGTTTTGCCAACAGAGCCACATCTGAGACCATTTTTGTTGTTAGATATAATGTAGTGCAGACTTGCAAGCCTGCATTTTATATAGTTGGGGGGACAAAAGATGGGTGACCTTTGGTCAAAAAATATTATCCTGCAGCTGACCCCTAACTAATGTTAGAAAACAAACTTTAATGATTAGTAGTAGCTCAACTGACCAGCTTTCGCAATCTGATATACGTCAGTAGAGGCAGTTGCCATATACACCCAGGGAACACATAAATATTTCTGTTCCACATAGCATTTATCCACATTTCCATCCCCATCATGTTTTATCTCAGCCCTTTTATGCACACATCCATACAGCTTGAAACAACATTATTTTGGAGGAATATATTGTAAAGTGCTCCACATAAAGCTAATGGCATAAACAGTTTCATGGCTATCAACATTACAAGACACCTTACCACCCACTCTGCAGCCTGTACCTAAAAACGGATACATGACCACCACCGCAGGTCATTAATGTGTCATGGAAAAAGGGCTGCACCGAGTCATTTGGTGGGTTAGGGTGCTAAAGTGAGATATCTTAACTTTACAGGATTGTTTCTGACTTTCCCTCAAATGTGAGCAACATAAATGCCATTTAGAAAAACAAAAGGAAACATCCAGTTGGGTGCAGTCACAACTAGCCACACCAGCACACCATTACAGCTTTACAGAGGGCTTCCCTCTCTTTACGTGGCTCCTGAAGCTGGAAACTGTGGCTCACCCGCTGCTTAAAGCTGTGTTACACGTTCCATATGTCAGGACTGCTCTGCCATTCCCTAACCACAAGTGATTTGGTCATGTATGTAAAGACCGATATATCCTATGCATACACACACAACCACCTCCGTTTTAACAGAATTGTAGATGGCAGGCCGGATGCCTCATGTGGGACAGAGTTTGAAGGGGGACGCTGATTGATGAAGTGCATGGACTGTATTTAAAGTCCGCACAGGCTAAGTGATATGCCCCCAGAGTGCAATCAACATGTGTAAAATATGTAGCTCTGATACTTATTAACTTCCTGGTAGTGGTAATATGGTTAATGGAGTGGTGTGTTACCAAAAGAGACCTAGATGTGACTGTCCTACAACAATTTTCTTTTTTGTGAGTCCAAAATGCTAAATATATATATATATAAAATGGAAATGTTGCTGCTATATTTTAACACCACAGGTAATTCTTTCCTTCCTTAAAACATAGCTGCTGTTTAATACAAAGAAGTTATTGAGATGACTCCTAAATTCATGTATATTGGTGCAGTTAATGTAATTAAACGTTCATGCTTGCAGTAATCTGAGTAGGAGTTATTATTTCCATATATTATTTTGAAATTTAGATTTCCATCTTGATTTCCTCAACCACAGTCAGTCAGGGAAAAAAATATTTATATGTTTATTTATTATATATAAATCATAATAGTATAATCACAGAATATGTGTAGTCTAATTGTATCTCTTCGTCATTTTTCTCTACTATGCACATGGGGTGCCATGATCCTTGTACTACTTATTATTGGTATTTTGTGCGTGCGAAACTAAGTTATCAGTATTACTACAATTACCTTACCCTGACAGATATGTGCACAGTTAAGTAGCAGGGCCATGAATGTGACATGTTTAACTCGACTTTCCAGCAAGACTGAGATTCAAGCCTCATTACTGTCTAAATAGTTGAGCCGTACTCCTCGGCACGTTAGAATAGCTGCTCCCTCCGTTTCTTATTAATAAATCAAAATATGTTTCAGCATTCCTTTACAGATATGTAAAATTTGGTTCAATGTGAAATTAAACTGATATGATACAGTCCTTTGCTTAGAGACATTAATGAAGTTCCCACTACAGTTTATTTATCATTGAAACATTTTTTAAAATAATTCAAAGCTTCTTCACATTAAATACTATGAGGAACGTTTGAAATGTTTGCTTTTGCTGACTTGAAAAACATTATTCTACTGAGTGTTATTAACTTCTCAGATTAGTTGTTTTAAAGATATGATCCTCAAACATTTCAGAAGTAACTACACCAACGATAGGAACGCTAAAGCCAAAAAGAAGTATTATTAAAAACACACATTATTAAACTTAGTATTACAAAGAACACCAGCATGAAATGATGCTACACTGAACATCTGTACTTCTCCAAGCCAATCAAGAGTTCGTCAACTTTTTAAAAAGTTTTACAAGTTTTTTCCCAAAAATTCAGAGTTTTTGATATTTGTTGTGCCTACCTGTGCCAAAGGCTTTCCCAGCTTCACTGCCATAAGCTCATTATCTTGCTGTACAACACCCGACCCTCAACTCTTCCTCTCTGTGTGTGTCTCACTCTCTTAGTAGCCGTAATGTGGGCATTCCTGCAGTCAGACCAAACAATAAGGGATGTGCTCCCTGCCTATGGACCATTACATCATCAACATGTCCTTATATGGAGCTTTGCATTGCAGAGGCTCGCAAGAAGGGGGTGTGCTTGCTCCTATGTGTAACTGTGTGGTGTGTACACGTGTGTGCCGAGTCTTAGTGTTTGAGCGAGCCTCCTAAAGTAGCTGTTTAATGAAAGCATGTGGCAGAGAAGAGGGAAAGGTTTTTCTTGACGTATGTAATGTGTGAAATATCTGCCTGGTCTGTCACTGCTCCGGGGGCAGGGCAGTAGGTGAAGAGAGACAAGGAGTTCGAGTTACACTGTTTCTTTCTGGCTCTTGTCAACATAAGTCATTTATTCAGCCAAGGTGGGAGTAAAAGAGAATCGGCTTGCAAATTTAATAAGAAATTCTTGGATGAGGATTTGAAATTGAGACCAATGCTGAAGAACAAGACAAGTCATGTAACACATCTTTGACTTGTGAAATGTTTATTCACAGCCCACACCCAAGAGGAGCTGACATTTTGACAGTTTCACTGAAATGGTTTGTTAGCAATACCATTCCTCATTGAAATGATGGAGGGCTACTAGCTTCTAGCTGTCTGGTGGCATTACCTCTTAGTCTTACTGAGAAATGCTAACACTGCTAGTGTGCTATAGGGGTGTTGTTTTGGTGCATACAGTTGCTGATTTAGTTGCCAGGAATTCATCTTTTCTCTCAGCATGGTCCCTTACACAGGCTACATTTATACCATGAAAGTCCTTAAAGCGAGATTTGGTACATTATGTTAGTATACATCAGTAATGGAGGAAGTATTCAGATCCCTATCAAGCAAAAGTTGAAATAACAGAATGTTTAAAAAAAATCCAAAAGAAAAACAAAAGTGTTGCATTTATAATTTTGTTCAGTGTAGTTTGTTTTATCCATACAGTTACTTTGGGGTGTTAACAGTCTTTATGCTAAGCTAAGCTAACTTTTGTCCTAGGTCCACCTTCATAACTAACAGACAGATATGAGAGTGTAATGTAAATGTAAATGCTCCGTATTTGTATAGCGCCTTTCTAGTCTTTTCGACCACTCAAAGCGCTTTTACACTACATCTGCATTCACCAGTCATACACATTCATACACTGAGCCTAAGTGCTCAAACGGAAACTAACATTCACACTCATTCATACACTGGCGGAATAGCCGCCAGGGGCAAATCGGGGTTCAGTATCTTGCCCAAGGACACTTCGACACGCAAACAGGGGGAGCCAGGGATTAAACCGCCGACCTTCCAATTAACGGCCAACCCACTCTACCTCCTGAGCCACAGCCGCCCCTGGCAGCATCGACATTCTCATCTAACGTTCAAGAAAGTGAGTACACTTATTTCTCTTAAACTATTCCCTTTAATAATACCTTAACATGTAAGTAGCTCTTGTTGCAGGTTAGTTATAATGGATCTAATTTTAACTTACCTAGTCTATGACAGTGCATCATAATTTTTATAAAATGATCACGTTTTGTGTGAATAAAATGTTAATCTGCTAAGTAATAAGTTACCAGAGAGATCAAACAAATGCAATTGAGTAAAATGTCGAATTTTCCCATTGAAATACCGTGGCATAATGGTACAGGTTCCTCAAAATTGCACTTCTACAGTGCATCTTGCAGCCACATCGTGAGAATATCTAAGGTGAGGGTTGGGTAGTTATACGTCTTACCTGTGTGTGTAAATGTGGCTTTACACTGATAGCTCCACAAACAAAATAATGGATTTTCATGCAGCAGTGTAATTGTGGCTTAAGCCAGCACACATTGCTCTTTGTCAGTGGTGCATTGTTCAGTTCACAATGCCTTAGTATTTACCATCATTATCAGATTGCTCTTACCTAACTCATTACAATTCATTTCTCATACTATACCTGGTGACTAAATCCATCTTTGAAAAGTGTTAACATTGTGCGTCATCTATTGTCATAAAATGAGAGCTAATTTTATAGAGATTGTTCAGGGAGGTTAGCTCAATGTCTCTATTGTCCTGAGAAAAATGTGCTCTGTTTATTCAAACAGTGGGACTGGTGACAATGCGTGGTGCAGAAACATTTGGGCAACTCAAGTAGTGACAAAAGTACTTCCTGACTGTGCAAGACCAGTATGAGCTCATCTTTGGTGTAAGGCAGCAATGCATGACATGCAATAAGACAGTAAATTAGTCACATTTGAATAGGTCTGTAAAAACTTTATTCTGTCACTATCTGTCTTCAGGCAGTACGTTAACGTTAGAGTCCAGCCGTGCGGCCAAATAACAAGGGCAAGACTCTTCCTGTCTCCTGCTCTCTGAATAAAATATGTCATGACTTCACAATGGCTGAGGTCACAGTTACTAAATGTTAAGAGCTTAGCCAACCAAGCTGAGGGATGCAGAGGTTTTCTGGATTAATTTAAAGTTGCATTAGGCAGGATTCAAATGTAAATATACAAACACTGCATACATCAATAGAATGACACAGGTTAAACACTTATAAGTGGTCAATCAACGCACCTCATCCTACCTGACTTCATGACCGGTTCCCCTCAACTGAACATTTGCCAAACACAACACAGCATTAATTATTGGTTGTCACCTTTGTATTATAATTAATTTCCAGCTTTAAAGGATGTAATTAAACATCAAACTTAAAATAATGATAGGAAACCAGGCTGGTATTCAGATTAAGTCAGCTGGAAGTCCACAAGCATCTACTAACCATCTAAAACAACTTTTGGACGACTTGAAGCGCAGAAATGTAAAACAGAAACCTTCCATCTCTGGCCAGTACAGTTTACCCCAGGAAAAATTTAATTAGATCAGCTCAAAATGCTGACAAATACACGAAATGCCAGCATACACATTGTAACTTGAATTTTATTCATTGAGTGGCAGATGGAGCAGCTTGTGTGAGTCACTGCTTTAGCCAGACACGACTCTCAAGTTCCTAAAGAGAGGTAAACTTAAAACATGTGGCCCAATGACTTATGTAAAAAAAAAAATGCAATTAATCACAGCATTTTCGACCTATTGGAGGAGACTGTTGTTGGACGATAATAAATGAGGCTATGTGAAAAGGTTTGGATGGCCTGCTTGTGCATACAGCGCCATTAGGAGCCAAAGATAGCATTTGTTTTTGGTCAGGAAGTCTCCATGTGGTGTGTGCCAACACACCAAATTTGATTTGGTTTATAGAATACTGTGTGTGTTAAATTGTTATTCAATACACTGAACACTGTGATGGGGTTGTCTTTAAGAGCCATATGGTAATTGTCACATGTGTTGTTGACAACTAAAGGCCAGGGGATCAGAGGTTGTAGGAGTTGTGAGCACAACGAGAATGACATGGATGAGCTCACTACTGAGACTGAAATCTTGCCCCTCAAAGAAACTCCACTTGAAAGTGTGACAACTTGATTGCTGAGAGAGACTTTTTACAGAAGTCTTTAAAGTAGTTTTGTAATACTTTGTCACAAGGCCCTGGGAATTGGGGAACTGTAGTGCACACTTGAGTAAAGCAGGATTGATTTCAGGCAGTTTAACACACAATATTTCACAATCTGCAGACTCAGTGTCACAGAGTCCAACAAATGCCCACTGAGCTTCAGCTCAAAACTATGATGTATTTTAGTTTTGTGTTCTCTCCCATTTCCTTGCAAGAAACTGTTTGTTCTTGGAACAAACAATTCGGTCATCCAAAATTAGATTCTATTTCTGGATTTGGACATATTCGGGGCCCTGAGTACTGTTCACTTGAAACAGATGTCAGGGATCAAACACAAGATCAGGCCACACAAACATGTTTGCTGTGACAAGCTTCTGCCAAATGACAAATAGTGGGGGGATGATGTATTATGTAACCTCTACGGAATGACTGTAGTACTGACAATAAACAAAAGAATGTGGAGGTTTTGGATTTGGTTTGCATGAGTAACGTGCGGTTCGGCCAGGCAGTTGTTAAATCCCGAGGCATGGTCTTCCGGCATTTCAATATGTTGCCATGTTCCTCTGAGCTAAAACTTCTTGGAAGAGTGAACAAATGGCAAAATATGAGCTAAACAGATGAATTAATCTGCTATACAAAGTCATAGTCGATTTGCCATTACTGAAGTAGTCTATTTCCAACTGGGACCTGCCCTTTAAGGCTGTGTCAAAAAAATCCGCCTTGCGGCCTAGTGGTTAAGATGCCTACCATATAATTGCAAAGTTTCTAGTTTGATTCTGACTTGGGAACTGTGTTGCATGTCATACCCCTCTCTCCCCCCTATGTCTACTATTGGTATCTTAACTTTGAATCAGGACATACGTAAAGCCTGACTCAAGCTTCTGCTCAGCTGAAGAAATGAAAGATCTGTTTTTTCAGAATGAACTAAAAAAAAAACAGATCTGTATGGAGCGGTGAGGAGAATATTAAACAAACAGTGCCAGATTTCCATCACATTTTCCAAATCATTTTCACTTTAAGTAGAAACATATTAATTTGTCTATCCTTTTGACAATTTTCTGGAAATTCTGTTCAAATTAGCATTACATTTGGATGGAAATTTAACTTATTACTTCCTGTAGCAACATGATGACACAAATGCAAGGGACTATATTTGGTCCCAATGCCCTCTTAAACCTCAAACACTTGGCTTCTACTTTTTAAGGTTATGCAAGTAAACACATGATATGGGATATCCTTGATTCTGTTACTTACAGAGTCTCGGACCAAACGTGATAAAAAGTATAGTTGTCATATGAGCGCATTAAAGTGTGTCAAATGCGTGCAGAAAAAGACACCTGTGTTAGAGCCTAGTGCACATTTATGTGTGTATGTGTGTGTGTGCGTGTGTGTATGTGCACTGGCTGGCACATGATATCTTGCATGAATCTGATAAAACCATTAATGTCCAAACCAGATGGAAACAAGAGATATCGCAGAGCTGAGTGCTGCAGGAGTGAATGCATGTCTGTGTGATGCAATATGTGTGAGTTAAGGCTCTGATCAGCCATCTGCATGCAGTAG